AGTTTCCCAAGTGGTCTCTTCATCTCTGACCACTGATTTTCCTGTATTTAATGTGAGGAGGGTCTCCAGCACTCTCTCTATATATATATGAAACTCATTACTTTAAGGACTGGAAAGAAGGCACAGTGCTTAAGAGTGTTTGCTGCTTGGAGAGGACCTCAGAATGGTTCTCAGCACTCACATTGGGTGGCTTCCAGCCACCTGCAAGTCAAGCTCCAAGGGATCTAATGCCCTCTTCTGGCCTCCTCAGACACCTGCACACAAGTGCTCACATAGACTCAAAGACACACACACACACAAGCACACACACGCACACAGTTTTAAAAAAAGGAAATTGGTTACTTTTAAAACTTGACTGAAGCCGGGCAGTGGTGGCAGACGCCTTTAATCCCAGCACTTGAGAGGCAGAGGCAGTTGGATCTCTGTGAGTTCGAGGCCAGCCTGGTCTACAGAGTGAGTTCCAGGACAGGCTCCAAAGCTACAGAAAAACCCTGTCTCGAAAAAACAAAAACAAACAAACAAAAAAAAAACCCTGAAATTTCTTTTCACATTAATCTATTTCTGCTTATGATTGTTGTGACCAACAAGCCAATCATCTATGGGTGTCTGTCTGCTCATCAGCTGGCAGGCCACAGCAGTTTGCTTAGGTGCCCTGCAGTAGGCACGGATCCTTGGATCCTGCCGTAGTCACGTCTATAGGTACTGTTTCTTTAGTCTATTCAGTCTTTATAGAGTGATGGATTTTACCTTAAAAACAGAACCTAAGTCCTCACCTTGACAAACAGCAACAAAAGCCCATCAGAAGATTGGTAATGAATGGGGCTCAGCTCCTAAGAATCTGGGGATGGAGCTCAGTAGCAGGGTGCTTGCCCGGCATGCGCAAACCTTAGGTTTCACTCCCAGCACGTGTGTGTGTGTGTGTGTGTGTGTGTGTGTGTGTGTGTTATAGGACAGAGCTCAAAATGACTTTGGAAAATCACGGTTGCTGTGCAGTGACTCTGTGAGGGTGACAGTGAGTTGTGACCGGACGACTAGGGATCACCGTGGACATCAGCCTTTGGGCACGTCTGAGAGGGAGTTTCTAAACTAGGCTAACTGAGGCAGGAGGACACACCTTAAGTGTGGGTGGCACCGTGCCACGGGCTGGAGTCCTGCACTGAGTAAGAAGGGAGAGCCACCTGAGCAAGCGCCTCCATTGCTGCCAGCCCCCTGACTATACCAGCAGCCACCTCAGGCGCTTACCACTAGGCTGCCTCACCAGGATGGCCTGTGCCCTGAACTGAAACCTCACTTGTTTTTTTTTAAATATTTATTTATTTGTTTATTTATTATGTATACAATATTTTGTCTGTGTGCGTGTCTGCAGGCCAGAAGAGGGCACCAGACCTCTTTACAGATGGTTGTGAGCCACCATGTGGTTGCCGGGAATTGAACTCAGGACCTTTGGAAGAGCAGACAATGCTCTTAACCACTGAGCCATCTCTCCAGCCCCTAAATCTCACTTCTTTATGTTGCTTTTGTCATGTGTTTTCTCTCAGTGAGAAGGAAAGTACTAACACAGCGGTGATAATAATTTTTCATGGTCTCAATAGCATTCTGCCCCACTTCCTCCATTAAGAACTGAAGTCAACCAAGCAGTGGTGGTGCACGCCTGTAATCCCAGCAAGCAAGGGGCAGAAATGGATCTCTAAATTCAAACTAGCCTGGTCTACAGAGTGAGTTCCAGGTCAGCCTGGACTACACAGAGAAACCCTGTCTCAAAAAGAAACAATTAAAAAGAATTGAAATCAGAGCCTTGGGCATACTAAGCAAGCACTCTGCCACTGAGCTCCATCCCCAGCCAGCCCCTTTTAAAGTTTTATTTTAAGATTTGGTCTTGCCAAATTGTCCAGACTGCCTTTAAGCTTAGCAACCTTCCTGAGTAATCAGGATTGTAGCTCTGTGCCCCTATGCCCAGCTTGGGTTTAGTTTTGGAAACACTTAGAATAATCGGTATGAAGTGTTGGCTCCGAAGGGTGTTGCGTTCTCCCCTTCCCTCATCTGTGTTGTGTTCTTGCTTGGCACCTGACGCTTGGGTTCCCCCGCAAGAGGGAAGGCCTCCTCTGACTTCTGGAAGGAGTCCACTGGGGTGTGGTACACTGTGCGCCCTTAGTTATGGAGAACAGCAGTGTGGCATCTACCACGCAGGGACAGAGGGACAGACAGCAAGTATCAGGCAGGCTGGTACTGTTTCTTTTCCCTAGAATTCTGGAATACAAGTGTTGAAAGAATATTCAGCTTTGAAAGGCACTCTTTTTCATTGTATCTTTTCTTTCTTTCTTTTTCCATTGTATCTTTAGTTTTTAGAATTGAAGCCTTTTTGTTTTTCTTGCTGGTTTTTGTTAGTTCCTAACATATGAAGTAAAGTCCTGTCTCTGTTCGAATCAGAGAAAAACTAGAATGATCTGAGGAACACTTCACTTACTAGAGGGAATTCTCCTGGGAGACAAGCTTTCTGTTTCTTTTTGTGACCTTGTTGATGCTTTCAGTGTTGAGAAGATGTCTTCCCTCAGGTTGAGGATAAGTAAGCACACTTTCTGAGCAAGCATGAGGACCTGACTTCAAATCCCCACCACCCACATAAAAAGTAGGGTTTGCCCATGCGTACCCATAGCCTTGCTCTGTATGAACAGAGACAGGAGGATTGCTATCAGTTGCTGATCAGTAATTCTCCAGGTTCAATCAGAGACCACGTCTCAAGGGAATAAAGTGGGGAGTGGTAGAGCAGGACACACACACACACACACACACACACACACACACACACACGCCCCTCCTGTCATAGCCCTCTGACTGTAACAGCCAGGTGCCTGTCTTAACTGCCTCATGTGATGACTCTGTGGTACTTTTTGCAGTTGTTGTTTTTTGTTTTCCAAGACAGGGTTTCTCTGTGTAGCCCTGTCTGTCCTGGAACTTTCTCTGTAGACCAGGCTGGCCTCGAGCTCAGAGATCCACCTGCCTCTCTCTTCTGAGTGCTAGGACTAAAGGTGTGCGCCATCACCACCCTGTTCTCTGTGGTACTTTTTGATGTGCATGAATTCTCTCTCTTGATTGCTTATTAAAAGTTGAGTTCCCTGAAAGCCTTGTTGCTCGGCCTCTTCTGCTTTGAGTTTTGGTCTTGATATTCCATTTCAGCCTCAGAGTGAGCTGTCAGAGGCAGGCCAGCTGACTTTGACATAGACGCACCCGGCCATCATTGAGCGGCGGTGGAAGCACTTACATCGTTTTCCTTGTGCAAAAAAAAAAAAAAAAAAAAAAAAAAAAAATGCTTTTGAGGCCACAGAAAACACCCTTGAAGTATAACAGCCAGGGTTCTTCCACTTTATTGTATGGAAACTCTGAGCCCTGAAATCCATGCTTTGTATTTCATTTGAGCTGTGGAAAATCTTGGAGACAGATCTGAAATCCACAGCAAGCACACAGGGCCCAGGGACATTCCCTGGTGACATAGTCCCCTCAGCTGCACTTTATTTCTGCATGTTTCTCCCCCACCCCCAGAGTCCTTTCTGGAAGCCCATGTCTACCCGATGTATAATAGTTCCTTTTCAATTGCTGTGCTGGAACGCCATGACCCAGGCAGCTAATAGAGGGAAGAGCAGAGCCTGTCATGGAGGGGCAGGGCAGCTGTGAGCAGCTAGAGATGGAAGCTGAGGGCTCGCCTACTGAACCTTAATCAGGAAGCAGAGAGGGCAAACCCCCAGCTGTGTCCTTCCTCCAACAAGGCCACGCCTCCTAAGCCTTCCCAGGCTGTGCTACCAACTAGGGACCAAACATTCAAATGCAGAGCCAATGGGTACATTCACATTTAAACCACTACAGACTGCTTTAATCTCCCTTTAAAACCTGGTAAAACACTAAAATGCTAGGGGCTTCGGTGTATTATAAACACCTGGTCAATATTTGCTCTTAAGTCTCCTTTTCTTGGTCTTAGACCCCACAGTCTCATGGTTCCCACACTGAGAGTTGCTGCTGTGGGTCTGAGGATCTCGTGGCTGACTCTGTCTTCACTCCAATTAGTTCGCTTTCTGTGGCTGTGAAAAAACATTGACTAAAGCCGGCTTGAGGCCAGGGGTGGTGGCACACTGCATGCCTTTAATCTCAGCACTTGGGAGGCAGAGGCAGGCAGATCTCTAACGAGTTCAAGGCCCGCCTGGTCTACAGATTAAGTTCCAGGACGGCCAGGGCTACAAAGAAGAACTATCTTATAAAACCAAAAAAGAAAACAAACAAGAAAAACCGTATCACCAGCAACAAGTTGACTTTGGGGGAAGGTTCTGTTTGGTCTTACTGGTTAAAATCTATCAAGGCAGAAGTCCGCAACAGAAACCATGGAGGCGTGCTGCTTGACTTGCTCCCCCTTGTTCAGTTAGCTTTCCTTTATACGTTTAGGCACGCCCACCTACGTATGGTACCACCCACAGTGGGCTGGACCCCCCTCCATCAGTCAGTAATTCCGGAAATGCTTCAGGAACCTGGCCACAGGTCATTCTGATTGACACAGCCCCCAAATGAGAAGCCCTGAGATAGCGGTGTGTTGTGTCAGCTTGACAACAGATGCTCACGAGGAAACCAGCTCATTGACCAGATTCTGTGCTCGGAGCTTCGAGGAACCTGCCATGACTTCAGGCCTCGTTCTTCAGAGTCCAGTCTCTGATTTACCAAATTTCAGTTTCAAGCGCCATGTTTATCCCAGAAAGCAATTCGGAATTAGCATAGGACTGGATGGCCGCAAAGACCTAGAAAACAGCTGCTTCCGCACCTGGCTCTTCAGACAAAATAAGTGTTCAGTTTATGTTATGTGACTGAATTTGGTTATGGCATATGTGCTTCTGTTCTTTGAAGCATTTGAATTGTGTATGTTTTCCCCAAGCACTGCTTGACCTCATGGCGTAGCTCTGGGAATGCGACCACAGTGGTAGCAATGGCTTGCCCTCAGTGACATCTCTGCTCTTCCTTTTCAGAGTATGATCGGCTGGGTTTCCTTCTGAAGCTGGACTCTAAACTGTAAGTAGAATGGGAAAAGGTTTGACTCTCGGCAGACATCTGTAAGCCGAGGTCTAGCTTGGAAGGGCCACCCTCTTACCTCTTTAGTTTTGGGGGGACTCCCTGGGGTCTCTGTCCTCAGGTTGCAAGCAGATTCTTCAAGCATGTTCCTATCTACAGGGCCCTGGAATAGCTTCTCCCCTAGAGTGGGCGTGATGGAGAAACGGCAAAGATGCCCTCTACCAGGCAGACCTGTGCCTGCTTCCCACTTCTGCCGGTTGAGCTGTCTTTCCTCACACAGGCAGACCTCCCTGTCTGCTTCTCAGAGGTTTGGTACCTGTGCCCGGCACTGCCTGTCCCTGGTATGCCGCGTGGAAAACCCCAGGATTACTTACTCTCTGCACCAAATTGTCTTCTGTGTTTCCTTTGAATTTCTTACCCCTGTTGTCTTCCAGTTGTCTAGCTATCCTATAAATGTGATGATTATTAATTTATTAAGGTCACAGGCTCAAAGCCAGGCAAAGGTTGGTTCAAATCCCAGATTGCCACTTACTGAACTTGTGATCTTGGGCAAGTGCCTTATCTACTTTGAGCCCATTTTGTCTGTAAGATGAAGACAGTATCCATACTTTATAAGTTGTTAGAAGGATTTAATTGAAGTGGTTAACTTGGGGGCCTGTGAGTACTGGAGATCCAGTTCTCCAGCAGTCTTTCCTGGTCTCTCTTGTGCCAAAGCTGCATAGGTGTAGTTTTGTTAGGTGTTCAGCAAACCCTGAGTGCTTGGATAGATGGATCGGAGGTGGGTGGCTAAGTAGGAGTGGAGTGTGTGGGTGGATGGATGGCTAAAATGGATGGGTTTATGCATAGATGAGGGGGTGGGTGGGTAGATGGATGAACACAAACCCATGTGATCATCACACTAGAAGCTGGATCTTTGTCCATTATGTTCCCTTATTCACTGTACAGGGTCACTCACATGGTTGATACTTAGTCCCTTCTGTTGTCAGCCATCGTGGGCTCCTGTATCCCTGAGGTATAATGTCGTGGAAGATCAGAATTGCATCTCCTTCCTTGCCCTTTTGCGTAAGGTCTTTTTTTTTTTTTAAGGGTTGTTTTATTTTAATGACTGATCCACCTGAGGCCACAGGCAGCCCACTATGTACAGACTCGAGGGAAACTCTATTTCTTGGTCTCTTCCTCCTTGGACAGAGTCTTGATGATCTCCTCCTTCTTGGCCTGGAGGCGCTCCTCCTGGCGCTTTCTTGCTTCCTTGGTCTTAGACCTGAGAGCCTCAGCCTGATCAGCCAGGAGCTTCTTGCGGGCCTTGTCTGCCTTCAGCTTGTGGATGTGCTCCATGAGAATCCGCTTGTTTTTGAAGACATTCCCTTTGACCTTCAGGTAAAGGCTGTGATACATATGGCGGTCAGTCTTCTTGGATTCACGGTATCTCCTGAGGAGGCGGCACAGGATCCGCATTCTTCTCATCCAGGTCACCTTCTTGGGCATTCGGGCATTGGCAGTACCCTTCCGCTTTCCTATGCCCATATGCCTGCCCTTCCGTCGAGCCAAAGTGTTTTTCCGGCATCGAGCCCGGGAATGCACAGTCCCAGGCTTCCGGATGATCAGCCCATCTTTCATCAGCTTCTGTATCTGCTGATGAGAGTTGGCATTGGCGATTTCATTGGTCTCGTTGGGGTCCAACCAGACCTTCTTTTTACCACAGCACAGGACGCTAGAGGCAAGCCTCTTCTGTAGCCTGAGCATACTCATGGCTGCGGATGCAGCAGCGAAAGCGCGTAAGGTCTTATATACAGCTGCTTCAGATGGTAATAGCCACACCTATATTAAATCATCCCTGTGAAGCTTTCCCGTGGAACTGTCTGGCCGCTGGCCCCTTCTCCTGGAATCTAGAGTCTTGGCTCTGGTGCCTCGAGCTACGCATTCAGGCGCTGTAGCTCTCCCAGCTTTTAGATGTCACAGAGGCCGCTTCCAGGGAAGAACTGTCTGATCTCTTTTTACAAGGCAGGCCGGGAGATGTTAGGCCCATATTAACATCTGGGGTGTGGTCCTGATTGGGCTAAAGAGTCGCAGGCTTTCCTCTTGGAAATGTCTCCGTTCAGTGCTATGCACAGAAAAGCAAAGCAAATCAAGTATAAGCCATAAACAAGTGAAATGCCTCCAGACCAGCGAAGAGGCAGTAATTGCCAAGTCGGATCGTACAGATGCACAAAGGAGCTGTTACCGTGGACATGCCAACGGCAGTATTTAAGCTGTCTTCGGCAGTGGAGGAGGAGATAGCGCCCACCCCGCTGTCTTGACAGTTGAGCGGTATGAGATAGATCTCTGTGGAGCTTGCTGCTGTGTACCAAGCCAATTCCGTGGATTGATGAGAGGATTTGGACTTTGGCCAAGAAATTGACTTAGCCCTGTATTTAATTCACACTGTGAGGGGCAGTCTAGAACCTTCCTGCCACACTGTGAGGGGTGGGCTAGAACCTCCTGCCACACTGTGAGGGGTGGGCTAGAACCTTCCTGCCACACTGTGAGGGGTGGGCTAGAACCTGCCTCTGCTGCTTTGTGTTATGTGACCTTAAACATCCATTTAAGCTTCCTGAACCCCAATTTTTTTCCTTATGAAAAATGTGGACTATTCACTTACATCGTTGTGGTTTATAGAGAATGAAAGAAAGCCTTGTATAATCTGTTGTAAATATGCAAATGCAAGGATTTCTTTGTTCATCTTAACTCGGGTTAATCTAGCTTCTTGAGTATAAAAATGTCTGTTCTGTAAGATGTCTGCTGCTTTCTCTTTAAATACTGCCCCTCTATCCTCCACTTATCCACACTCCCTACTCTTCAAAGGCTCTGGTTAGATTCTAGAGCTTCCAGTCATAACCTGTTAATGTCTCCATAGTTGCCACTTTTTAACCCTTTCCATGCTAAACTGTAACCGCAGAGGGCTCTGTGTAAGAATAAACTAGACTTAACCCTGAACCTCCAGGCCAGGATTATCAGGTGCTTACCCTAGCTCTGAGCGGATTAGGCTAAAAAGTCTGCAGACAAAAACACTTGCTGTTGACTCCCAGAGTCTCATCCTCGGGTAAGCTGGGAGCTCCCAAGGCCACGTGTAATATCCCCAGATTTGGCAAGTGCCGCCAAGCACCTGGCAGCAGCACACTCAAACCTTCTCGAGAAAAGCATGTGAACTCCTGACAAGTAGCCGTTCAAAGAAATGAGCAGTTCACAGTAGAGAAGAATGCACAAGGGAACGACAAACCGTCATTGGCAGGGACCACGGCAAACAGCAGGCCATGGGAGGGGACAACTGGCAGAGATTTCTCAAGTTGGAATGACCGGTCATAAAACAATTCTGTGTACCACACAAGACTGAATTATGTAGGATTAAGAACTGTAAAATAGAACCTTCGATTTAAAAAAATAAATAAAGAGGATTCCTGGGAATTTCTCTAGTGCAGGTTTCTTGCTAGCCCCATAATGGCTCTCTCAACCAAGATATCTCTTTCCTTGCTCTCCCTCTCTGCCCTTCCCCCATCTTGACCACCCATGTCCCTCAAGTTCTTCTTTCTTCTCCTCTTCTCCCCTCTTCTTCTCCTTTCCTCTCCCCTTCCCCCAGTCCCCACACTCCCAATTTTCTCAGGTGATCTTGTCTATTTCCCCTTCCCAGGGGATCCATGTATGTTTCTCTTAGGGGTCTCCTTGTTACCTAGTTTCTCTGGGGTTGTGCACTATAGGCTTGTTATCCTTTGCTTTGCATCCAATGTCCATTTGTGAGTGAATACATACTCTATTTGTCTTTCTGAGTCTGGGTTACCTCACTCAGGATGCTTTTTTTTTCTAGTTCCATCCATTTGCCTGCAAATTCTAGGATGTCACTGTTTTTTTTTTCCACTGAGTAGTACTCCATTGTGTAAATGTACTACATTTTCTTTATTTGTTCTTCAGTTGAGAGGCATCTGGGTTGTTTCCAGATTCTGGCTATTACAAATAGTGCTGCTATAAACATGGTTGAGCAGATGTCCTTGTAGTATAATTGGGCATCCTTGGATATATGTCCAGGAGTGGTATTGCTGGGTCTTGAGGTAGACTGATTCCCGTTTTCTGAGAAACCACCATACCAATTTCCAGAGAGGTTGTACACCCCAGCAATGAAAGAGTGTTCCCCTTACTCCACATCCTCTCTAGAATAATCTATCAATCATTGGTGCTTTTGATCTTAGCCATTCTGACAGGTGTAAGTTGGTATCTCAGAGTCATTTTGATATACATTTCCCTGATGGCTAAGGATGTTGAACATTTCCTTAAGTGTCTTTCAGCCATTTTAGATTCTTCTGTTGAGAATTCTCTATTTAGATCTATATCCCATAAGACCCTAAGCAGCTGTGGAGAGGGTGCCTGAACTGGCCTTGCCCTGTAGTCAGATTGGTGACTATCTTAAATGTCATCATAGAACCTTCATCCAGCAACTGATGGCAGCAGATGCAGAGATCCACAGCAGAAAACGAGGCTGAGCTCCCAAAGTCCAGTCAAAGAGAGGGAAGAGCGATAATACAAGCAAAAGGGTCAATACCATGATGGGGATAGCCACCTAAACATCTTACTTGAGCTAATGGAAGCTCACTGACTCCCGTCTGACAGTGGGGGAACCATCATAGGACCAAACTAGACCCTCTGAATATGGTGACTGTTGATGACTCGGGCAGACTGTGGGGCCACTGGCAGTGCGACCAGGATGTCTCCCTACTGCGTATACTGGCCTTTTGGAACCCATTCTCTTTGGAAGGATACCTTGCTCAGCCTAGATATAGTGTGGAGGGCCTTTATCCTCAAAACAATGTGCTAGACTTTGGTGACTTCCCATGGGAAGCCTTACCCTCTCCAAGTAGTGGATGGGAGGTTTGGGGGGAAGAAGAAGGGAGTGGGAACTGGGATTGGTATGTAAAATGAGAAAAAAAGGTTTTTTTTTAAAAAAAATAAATTTTAAAAAAGAACCAATAAGTAAATAATAAATCGGGCCAGCAAAATGTCTCAGCCAGGAAGGGTGCTTGCAGCCGAGCCTGCCCACCTGAGTTCAGTCTTTCTAACCAACACGGTAAAAGGAGAGTCGATTCCTGTAAGTTGTCCTCTGACTTCCACCTTAGACTGTAGCACACATGCACCTACCGTGGCCACTCAATAAATAAACTTTTAAAAGATCATAAATAAATGAGCTTCTCGAAATCAAAGTTACAATAGTCAGACTTTAAATCTTAATAGAAGGGGTTAGCCGCAGAGACAAATGAAGACAGTCAGCTAGGAGACAAGCCAGGTAGCAAAAACTTAAAGGTCTGGGAACATTCCTTTTTGCCCCTCCCTTCCTCTCTCCATCTGGGGTGTATGTGTGCCGCGTTGCATGTGCTGTGTTTGGAAACCAGAGGGAAATGTTGGGTGTCCTGCCCCGTCACTCTCCACCTTATTGCTTGACAGGATCAGCCTGTCATTGAACCTGAAGCTCAGTGCAAAGTCTAGCATTCGGGAAGACAATACCTTTTGGTAGCTGAAAACATAAATTGTGGGTGCCAGGCATGGCGGCACATATCTGTAATCCCTGTATGTGGAAGTCAATAGTAGGGGGAATCTCCAGTTCCAGGCCAGCCTGGGCTAAATGGCAGTTCAAGGTCAGCCTGGGCTACAAGGAAAGACCAAAAGAGAGAGAGGGAGGAAGGGAGGGAGGGAGGGAGGGAGGGAGGGAGGGAGGGAGGGAGGGAGGGAAGGAAGGAAGGAAGGAAGGAAGGAAGGAAGGAAGGAAGGAAGGAAGGAAGGAAACAGTGCTGGCAAGATGGCTCAGTAGGTAAAGCCACTTGCTGACCTCAGTTTGATCCCCAGAAATCACATGATGGAAAGAGGGAACTGACTCTTACAAGTTGTCCCCTGACCTCTTCTCATGTGTCCATACCTACACACAGAAATAAATAAATAAATATGTAACTATAAATTAAAACGAAAAAGAGACTCTGGAATCGGGCGTGGGTTTTAAATGCCAAGGTCTAACCATCTCACTAGCTCTGACTTTGATCTTCTATTTAATCAGTAAGTATCGGATTCCCATAAGAGTACTGACCCCAGAATGAGATGCAGCCACTCCTGTATCTTAATCCGGAGTCTTTTATTGGCTTACTGCCAGAGAAAAGAGAACTTCCAAACAAAATCTGTCCTCTGCTTGCCTCTGCTCTGTACCTGACTTCATCTGTGCATTCATTCGTTCAGCAAATACATCTTGACACCAACCGTATGCTTTGTGTGTAGGATAAAACCAAAAAGTCCGTGCCACGTTAGCTTAGTGAACAGGGGAGGGGGTAAACAACAGCAGCGAGGGTGGCGCTGCTGGGCAGCATAAGCAATGCCCGCTCTGTTTCTAAAATAAGGGCGGTCTCTATACCGATGGTTCAGACACATGGTGGAGTACGGAGGGCATCCCCGGGTGTGCAATGCAGAGACAAAACACCCTTCACGGAAGGAGAGAGAAGTGGTGTTTCCAGAGGAGACCGTAGGCTTCTCCGAGAGCAGAAGGTGAAAAGAACACTCACCGAGGAGGCTGCGGATACAAAGGCATGGGGGCCTCATGGAATATAACAGAGCCTTAGAGTAAGGAGCAAGGTGAGGGAAAGTTAGGCCAACAAGATCTGGAGAGCAAATGATGAGAAAACCATCAGGGAGATCGTGGGGAGAGTGAACAAGAGCTACCAGCCGTGCAGGTTCATAGAGACTTAAATGCTCCATCTGATTTCTTGGAGAATTCCATGTGAAGACAAAGGAGTAAAACCAGCCCCTTTCAGCCCCAAGAGCCCCTGGAAGCCAAGCCAGCTGAGAAAGGCCTGTAAACCTGGGCCAGTCTGAAGCGCTGCCGGAAGAGGCGGAGGGCGGCAGCACATGCCTATCTTCCCAGCTGCTCGGTGGCCAAGCCAGAGGATCACATGTTCTAGGCCAACCTGAGCTACCTAGCTATCGCTGTCTCAGCAGCAACAACAACAAAACATGGGAACAAGAGGGATGAGGGGAGCAGCCAGAGATAAATTTACTGATTCTAAAACAGCCTTGCCAAGTTCTGCGTTATGGCTTGCAAAGGGAAGCATTTTATGCCCAGTGCCATGCTGGATATTCTGTGGTACCTCTTCCTCTTAACAGTCATGTGGATGACCTCATCCGTCTTACCTCATCTGTCTGCTGGCTTTATGAGTCCTCTACATGCTGATGACTCCCAAGTTTTTATCAAGCTCAGTCCTTTTTCCCACACTTCAGAGTCATTCACCCAGGACTTCCTTCCCTTGGCTGTGTTTTTGGCTTCTCACAGTTCACATATCTAGAACCAAGCTCCAGTATTCATAGCCCAGAATCTTTCTTACCTCAGAAAATACCAGCTCCATCCCCCCAGTCGCCTGAGTGAAAAGCCAGTGTATCACCTCTTTGACTCTGAAATAGAGCCATCAGCAAGTCCTGCTGGCTTTTTCTTAAGTACAGCACCCAGGT